CTGCATACCGCATGGGTGGCTGCTCAGGGAGAATTTTGACATTTGCATAGGCAGAGACTTTCCGCTTCTCACTTGCCCTCCTGCGCTCTGCCGGGCCGAGCTGGGGGCCGTGCAGCCACAAGTCCCTCCTGTGCCTGTGAGGGATCCCCCCCAAAGTGGAGCTGACCCAGCAGCTTCTCCCCCCTGCACCTACAGGGCAGCAACAGGAGCCCACAGGAAAGCCTCAGATGAGAAGCTGCTCCCAGCCCACTTGCGTTGGGTCAGCCAAGCTGAAGGATGGCTTCAGACCCTCAGCCTTGCCCCAAGCAAAGCTGGAACGGAGCTGCTGTCGGAGATCAATTAACTACTTGGAAACTGCAGCCGTCCCCCACAGGCAGGAAAATATTATTCCAGTCCTACTGCTCAGGCAAAACCTTTGCCATGCCAAAGGTAAGTGATACGAACAACAGGACTGAGTCACACGCTGCTGCTGGGAAGGAAAAGTGGTTGGGCAACAGCACAATTGTCTCCTTCTACCTTCAGGGAGCTGGATTTGCTGTGGCAGCTGCAGAGGAGCCACAGGGCAGAGAGGCAGGGATGTGCTGGGCTGGGGGGCCTCCAGGAACACCGTGAGCAGTGCTGCATGGGGCGAGCAGGACGTGTGCTGCTACTGGGATAGAATCTCCACAGATTCAGCAAATAGGGATTTACCTACCCCAAACCAAAAAAGTCCTAATGCCAAGGAAGCTGTGAGTAAATACTATCCGGTCCCAAGCTGTAGGTAGAAATGTATTATGATAGTATTTAATTAGGGCGTAAATTTGGTCTGAGGCAGATTTAATACGTGGGTTTTATATGAAATAGAAGATTTATGGTTTTTAATTTAGTATTTTTGAAGCAAAGTTACGGGGAAAAAAAACCACATTTGAATCATAAGAAGAGCTCGTGCTACTTAGGGAGGCTTCACATCAGTTCTATGGTGAGCACAGGGGTTCACTGCTGCCATCACCCTCACAGCAAGCCATTACAAGCACTGATCCTACCTCCGACTGCTCTTTTAACACACAATTCAAAGATATTGTAGCTAAAGAGAAATATTTACACAAGATGTGTATAAATATAAAGTTTATTCAGTATAGTGTTTAGAAAAATAAGTTCACATCATCTCAGAATACAAATAAAACACTTAATTGTCCAGGCACAAACCCCTATTACAGTACAACAAACATACATACTTTAGATCTCTTTGGTTGGGTAATTAAGCACAGATATGTTTGATGATACTCTCTGGGTCGGCATCATCTAACAGTGCAGTAAAGACTTCTGATTATTCCCTCCTCTAACGCGTACATTCCGCTTCAATGTCTCATCTGTTGTAAGGCACAATAAACCCATATCGCAGAAATAACTGGTTAGTTCTGGACAAGCAGTACATGCAGCAAAAGAACAAACGTCCTCTGAATGTGAATCCTGAAAGTCAGAGGATTCACCCCCCTCCTTGAGTTCAGAAATGTAAGAAGCTAAGTTTAAATTATATGAAACATAAAAGTAAGATATAAAACATCCTTCAAGACAGTAACTGCTAGGAGATACAGGAAGACTTCAGGTCTCCTTGCTTGTAAAATGCCATTCATTTTGCTTTTGGAGTTACAAAATTATTACTGTTTTCGTGATTTGAGATGCTGCCGGACCACAGACAACACAGGCTCCATGCCCCTGGGATCCTGCATGTTTGTTTCATGCAGAACCAGAGGGATGTGTCCTACTGGTTGTTTGTCTGTCCTCGTTAAGAAAAGTGCACAGGCACTGGAAATCTACGTACAGGAAAAGTTCCTGTGCACACGGGGCCAAATTCTGCCTTGCTTAATTTAACTGCAAATTATTTCTGTCAATCCATCCATTGTTGTCACTGACCTCATTTGGATAACAACAATAAAGACGGTTCCAGCCTTATTTCTAGAGAAAACCGCTTTCTAAATGCATCTTCCTGAATCCACAGGCAGGGTGAAGTGATAAATGGCGAGAGGTATTTGCTTGGATAGATTGGTGCCGTTCATTGCAACTGTCTGAGCATCGGCCTTGTGAACTGCTTTGTAGTGTCACTGCAAACTGGGCCAAATCCATCCCCGATCCAGCTCCAGTGAAATGAATGGACCACATTCTCAGCTGGTGTGAAATGACACGAAAGTCAGTGAACTGTGCTCGTTTATCCCAGCCAAGGAGCTGGCCGATAGATGTCCACGACTGATGTGGCTGAAATGTCCAATTAGGTAAGACCACAGGGATAATGCTGCAAATAGTCCAGACAGAGCATTTGATTCAGGATATTTCTGGTTCTCTGCAAAAGTCTGGTGAAATAGAGGCAGCTTTAATTAAAGGTAGTGAAGAATAAAGTTTTTTTGTTGGTTTCTTTTTTTTTTTTTTAGCACTCATGCTTTATAGGAATTTGCTTAAACTTTAAGCGTATTTTTCAAAGCTGAGTCTGGGACCAGAAAAGCAGTAGAATTTGGCAGCGTTTCCTGTAAGATTTCCAGTGGACTTACAAGTTACAAACATATATGAAGTTGAAATGATCCTTTATTCTCATCCACAGCGGGGAGGGAAGAGAAGTAGTAGTTGTGCTGGATAGACTTATCTTCCATTGAAACAACAGAACGTGATAGTAAGGGCCGTCCGTGAGATTCAGATGCTCACTGCCATTAGTATCTGTGGGAGATGAGCATCCGTACCCCCTGAACACCATGTAAAATCTTCAGTTGGGAAACAGTGGAGCAATGCCTTATTTACAGCAGCTGAAGATCTGGCCCCAGATGCTCGATGGGGCTTTGTGTCCTGTCTATGCAGAGCAGTCAGCCTTCTTGCTTGAGGGCCGCATAATAAAAACCGACCCTTAGTTTACAGTAGGAGTAAAACTACTATTTAAATATCTACTTTAGAAACACTGTACCGTGCAATGAGTCTTTATATTGTGCATATGTACCTGCAAAAAAAAAAAAAACCCACGAGGTTCTAACTACATCATCTGGAGGGAATGACACTTATTTTCAGTGGGAGAAAAAAAGAGTAAAACATAATAACAAAATAAGTTACTTGATACCTGGAAGACGAATAGATTAATCTTACTTTGTCCCAAACCACTGCTTTTATGTACATCCTCCGCTCCCACGAAAGAAAGGGAGGTCTCCTATTAGAAGTACCAGGCACCCCGAGATATGCACCACTGTAACAGCATACACAGTTTTCACATCAACTGTGCTGCAAAGCCATGGAATTCAGAGCCTCAGTAACACCACAAATGGAAGGGAGGAGAAGAAAAAAAAAAGGAACATGTACTGGCATGACACCACAGTCTTTTCAGTTACGGAACCTGATGAATTCAACATTTGACAGAGAGCTCTGAAATGTTCTCTAGCTTGCCTCTAGAAACAGTCTGAGCTCCACAAACCAAACGTTAAGCCCTGAACAACTCCCTCAGAGCTACACACAGCTCCTGCTCTGCGCATATGTTCTCCACTAATACAGCAATACAGGATCCTTTTTTTTCTCCAAGAAGTTGAGCAATTCATGCAGATCAGATGCAGATACCGTTATCGTGATCATCATCTTTGTTTTGAGGGTGAAGGAGGGGTGGAAAACAAATTGTTCACGCTGGAGCCCAGCAAGGCACTCAGATAAACCACTGGAGCAGAGTTCTGCACCATCCGATTCCCTGCTCACATGGAGATCCCCCGAATGCCAAGACAAGTTGTGCCAGGGGAACATACAGCTCCATGCTCTGCTTGTGCTAATCTGCACTTTAAAGCACTTGCCTTAAACACCCTTTTTGTTTGGGTGCAGGTGGGAACAGCCAACTGCCCAGGGGCTGCTTCTGTTTGCAAAGCACCAGTCACTCCTGCAAAGTGCAAGCCTCGCAGGCTTGCTCTTCCCTTTCCCTGCACTTTTCCGTGCAACGTTCAAGACTCCAGCTTGCAGTGTAAACTGCAGCATTTACCAGCAGAGCTCAGCTCTGAGATTTCACACGCTGCCTTGCAAAACATGCTGCATCCAATATAGTGCAAAACAACAGCAAGGATGTCTGTGCCGTACGGGAGAAACCTTCATTCCTTAAAGGCTTTCCACAGAACCAGGTAATAACCAAGACAAGAACAGACTGGGATGTGCTCTCTCTATTCACTTTCCTGTCCACTCTTTTTGCCCAAGTGATTTTGTGTAGGGCCTGGCGTGGAGCCCACAGAAGTTTAAGAAAAAATTTCCCATCATCTTCCAAAGGCTTCAGCCCATGTCCCTAATGAGGATGAATACATGCCTTACCTACTGTATATATTCACATTAGAATAAGAAATAAAAATAAAACAGAAACACAAAGATAAACAGCACGTCGTTTTTATACGTCTGCATTATTATTATTATTTTAAAGCTTAAGGATGTGCTTTTCCACGCTACAGAAGTTTCTCTGGAGGAAAGGTAAGGGCTTTTCCACCTGCCCACAGCCTGCCTGCTTGTGCTGTCCCTGAAGGAGAGCAGAAGGGTGAAGAGAGAAGACACCCATCCACACGCAGGCAGGGAGCAGGGCTGCTCCACAGACCTTATGGGCAGCTGCAGTTCCCACCACCAGCCCCCGCCCTGCTTATTCTGGAAGGATTTATAAATCCACGCTTAAGTGCACTCCTGGATGGGGGCCTGTTTGCTGAACAGCAGCTGAAGTCCTCCCACAAGGGCTGCTGGGCCAACGGCTGTGGGGGAACATGGGACTCCCTTCCCTGGTCTGCCCACCAACCTTCCAACTGATCAGACCGAGGCCAGAGCCAAGATCTTTCCTCCTGCACTGCTCAGCCCGTGGTCCCTCTGCACAATCCTCCTGCCTCCAGCTCCCTGCACCACCACTCAATGTCACCCAGCCTGACCAAAAGACTCAACTCTTCCAAAAGATTCAACTCTTCTTACTCGTGCAAGTAGGGACCTGGGGTCAGCAGGGCTACTTGCAAAAGTAAGGCATCAGGATTCGGCCCTGAGGACGGAGATTTGCAAGTCAGTGTTTTTATTCCTCCTGCCACTGTGCTTTAGTAACGAAGATAAGGCCACTAGGAAGAAAGGCACATGGAATTCCATAAAAAATACACAGAGAAAAAAGGTTCAACTAATTTGCAAATTACTAACAAAACAAACAAAAAACCCCTGAACACAAAGACAGAGGGGGTAGAGACAGGGACCTCCTGGGTTTGTGAGACTGGGAGCTCATTTTCTAGTTTCAGTGTGATTAACATTTTACTTTTACAGTCTATTGCTTGAAAAACTACAAAAAAGTAAAACCTTGTCAGAAATAACTACGTTTACTTCCTGCTCAAACAATAAAAATAAATTAAACAGCCAGAAAACGTTTTCCTTTTCAATGCATTGTGTCTAAAGTGAAAGGGAACATAAACCATAAATAAAATCCATTGTACTAATTAAAAAAAAAAAAAAAAAAGTCTCCTTGATAAGAACTGAAACAATATTTACATTCATACTGGAGAGAAAGCTTCCGAGTTGCAAAATTAGAGTTTCAGATGATGCTTTTTTGGTGCACTGACAAAATGCTATCTGTAGCACCTCGAAACCTGTCAATGTTTGATGTGAGATTTTTGGTATGAACACAAGCCTGCTGGAAAAAAAAAAAAAAAAAAAAGCAAACACACCAGTAACAAAATTAGTTAGGGTTTTGTTTTGTTTCTTAACCTCCAACAACAAAAAAGTAGCCTGTGAGGTATCGTCTAGAATTCTTAAAAAATTTTTCAATGCCCACGGACTAGAAGTAAACAGCGAAAACAACTGCATCATTTCTACCTTTCCAGAGCAAGATTTTTGCTTTCTACCTACTGTTAGGAGTGTGTATACTTACTGTTGATAGCATGTTGCACTACAGAGAATCTAGTTACGTTATCAGCGCAGTAGCAGTAGCCAAACCTGTACCCATTTGCTTGGTACTTCCCCTGGCGTTTCCTTTCTCCTTTAATCTGCTTAAAAGAGAATACTGCATGCAAACCAAGTGTGGCAACCGAGACCCGTTGCCAGAGATTCCTCTGTACATCAATTCAGACCATTTAAATGTTCTTCTGCTTTCTTTAAAAAAAAAAAACAACAAAAAACCCACTCCACTTGGTGCTTCTTAGGGCCTCAACAGGAGTCTTATCTACTGAAACAGAAAGCAAGGAAAAAAATTATAAGTCTTGCATATCTTCATCCATCTGAACTGTCTGCAGTTTGGCAAGTTCCTTTTTGTCCGTTTCCAGTTCTTCACAAACCGTGTCAACCATGTTACTCATAACATACTTGGATTTCGAATCCAGCATCATTAAGCTGCCGGTTGATTTGCTTTCTGAATTAGGCAAGAAATTCTCTTTGACATCTGGTACAGCTTGCAGAACCAACCTGTGCTCTCGGACAAAATCCTGGTGTACCTGTGCAGAAGGATGGCTCACACGGTCTCCAGTCGTAAAAACGATTTCTCCAAGTGCGGGCTGTGCTGTAGAAATGGACAACAGATCTTGACTGGTAATGAGGGAGCAGTTCTGAAGAGTTGCATAGTTAGTGTTGCTGATAGATATCACGGTAGAGGTACTGGTTACGGGCAATGACATGGACTGGCTCTCAGAGATACCAGAGCTCAGTTCTGCAGCATTTAAAAGAGTCGGTGGCGTGAGGGAGAAATTATGTGAGGGCGTTACATTCACTAAGGAGGAGGCCAAGGACTGGAGTCCTCCGCTGGATATATTTTCAGAAGACATGTTTACATTGAGTTGCGCGTTCTGACCGACTGGCATTAACTGAGAAAACACAAGGCTTCTTTCCAGTCCTTCCTGCTTGACGGATCCCACCGCCTGACCTGAATTGGGAACTGTATAAACGACGGCGCTCGGAGCGAGGGGGCTGAAGAAAACCTTTCCTTGCTGCACCGTTGAAGAGTCACTTGTGAAAGTTCCTCCATCTGATGTGCTAGAATTTACCGAAACGTTATCTAGGGAAAAGGAAACAAAAGAGAAGAAAGTACAGATTACAGCTGTCAGAAAGCTCTGCAATCGTTTTGCTGAGATGCTTTGGCAGTCCTGTGTTAGAAGGACATACACACAACATATTTCATAGCACTGTTTACTACAGGTGAGAGAAAAATTGGTAGCATGAAACAAAAACTTGTGTTAATAGAAACTGCATCTAGAAAGAGAAAATAAAAGTTGTGGTAAATCAGGTATCTTTCAGACTCACTCTCATTAAGGAGAGCTCCTAGCCACGTGATTAAAATGAACGTGCTTTGGCCCTCACTAGTTGCCACCACTCAATTTCTATCTAAGAATAGAAGCATGAGAAACTATTAAAGATAGTCGAGAGACAGATCACAACTTGTGTGTGGGAAAGCATAGACACGTCACACAAAATACACCATTGCTGAGCAGAACCTACCCGAGTGAACCCGCAGGAGGAAAGTTCAAACAACAATAACTTCTACCAGGATAACTATGCAGTCAGCCAAGCACGCAGACTTATTGCCTTTCACCGTGCTTCATCACATATTGCTAGAAGCCTAACCCTCCTACAACCACCGTGTGGTGTAAAGCCACCCCAACCACCCTCTCTGAAAGCCATTGGACTGCTTGGGTGATGTCCTAGATAAGCACAGCAAGAAAATCTGGCCAGACAAGATCTGAATTTGGTTCTACTGGACACACCATGAAAGTGGTCATTGTAACCACCCCTAAAATAAGATATGCTGGCTCTTGTGACAGGGTCCCCCTTTAAACATCTTTCACAATAGGTTTTTACTAATTGTAATTTTAAGAGGCTAAAGCTGGAGATAGTGTGATTTTTCATAACAGCACTGAAGCATATGTCACCTGGGGGAAAAGTTTAGGTCCTCATTCACTTCCACTCATCAATCACAATGATTTTTTGGAAGATGTCACTTGTACATATAAACCAGAATAATAAAGCTGAGGCAACTGGAAGTTACCTGGCAATAACTTATCATTTACTGTAGCTTACTCAGTCTGCAATGCACTTCACTTGGAATAGTGGGAGCTATTCATCCTTTTCGTGTTGAAAAAAGAACAACAAAAAAAAAAAAAGGAGAGAAAACAAAGCAATCAATGTGGATCCTGACTCTTCTCTGCACCAGACACACTGCGGATCAACCTCCTGATATTTTCAACCATGGGGAAAATGTTTAGAGAGTGGCTTATTATGCACTTTGGACTTTCCCATTGTCCCATATTTCAGGAACACAAATTTCTTTCTCACTGCTGCCAGCTGTCAGCTTATGCCTTGGAGCACGTGGATTACACAGCTTTGTAGTTACAGGTGGCATTCAGACCAAATGTCTTACCTTTTTTAATCTTGGTTAAACTAATTGTCAACAACTTCCAGTGACCAAAACTCACTGGAAAAAGTCGTATTTTCGGCTCTTATGATTTTCTACCTGTTTAAAAAGCATTTGCACAGCCTCAGTATTACTACCTGTGATGTTTTAACAGCAAAAAACAGTTAGCTTCCCATAACTGAAATTACCTAACAATATGATTACCAGTGTAGTGAGAGCACTCCTGGAACTACAGCAATTCATTCAAGTTTAATCATTTTCATAACCAAAGATACAGTGGTTAATTAGTAACAAAGTCGTTCAGTTCCGCTTTGCATCTGAGCTGCTTCAAAATAATGAAGCAGAGCCACTGCTGCATTTCCTACGCTTCTTCCTGGCTGGCCAGAAGTCTCAGTGTATGGCATTGTTAAGACAAACTCTGGCAAACTCAGGGAGGAGCCTGCACACTTGGCACATGAACCTGTGATGACATATTTCCCTTGGACAGAGGGCAGTTTTATCCAAATCCCCCTGCACTTTCTATCTACAAGCTATTACATATTCCTATTGTTTCCCTGCAGTTTATTCATTTTTAATTATGGGATAGGAAGTGCATGAGTGCAACTTGGTTTTGTTGTGTCTATGGCCGTTTAAAATTTATTTATGAAATTGTTTGGTTAAAAAACAAAAACCAACCAAACAACCACCACAAGAACAACAACGGCAACAGTTTCCAGCTGCTGCAGTTCTCATTTTTATAAACTTTCTCATAAAAAAAAAAAAGAAAAGGAATTTAATGGCACATGGGGAGTATTTTGATTTACTGAAATGTGTGAAATTTACAAATTTCGGTGAAGACTGATATCATAGGCTTGGGGGAAAAAGCGTGGAATGAAGAGAGTGTAAAGCAGCAGATTTCCTTCCCTGCTCTTGATAAAGCAGTTCAGCTCTCACGTCACAGCCTACCTGTGAAAATCCACACGAAAGGAAAAGGGACAAATGATGTGATGTGCTGCGTGTGGCTGGGGCCAGGACATGAAAGTGCATTAAAGGAAAAAGTATTATAGCTTTGTAACGTGTGCCCAACCCTGATTTTTCCTCACAGCTTTCCCTGTAACAAATAAAGCTTTTACCTTGAGAAGCTGCCACAGAAACAGGAGGCAGCTGCAGAGAAGAAAAACCAATGCTTCCGTTCAGCAACTGGCCATTTGTTCCTGAATTGGGGATCTGGACAATGCCATACTGGTTTATTTGGACAGGAGCAGTAAAAGTAACTACAGAGCCTCCATCTTGGGAAGCAACAGTTTGTGTGCTTTCCCTTTTCACTTCTGAGCTCGGTATCAATCCCGGGAAGGAGACTGGTATGTTGCTGGGGCTGAATGTGTCTGCTGCTGTGTTGGGGACCGAAGCCTGGAGGAGTTTGAAGTCTTTCACATCTTCCGAAGAAGACGACATGATGTCAGTGATGGACACCCCATTGCTCACAGCACTTGAAGTGGTTTTGGGTGAATTTAAAGTCACCGGTTGGGAAGCCCCCACGCTGAGTCCATTGAGAATGACACCATTGGGTCCTTGAAGAAAAGAACTACCATTGAGAAAGACAGGAGAACTACTGGCAGGCACGAGGTTCCCATTCAACAAGACACCAGATGAGCTCAAGGCTATTTTAGTGTTTCCAAGCTGCTGCATGTAGACGGGCTCCATGTGGCTGGGAAGGCTGAGGCTGGTGACTCCGTCGGACGAGCTGGAGAGCGGATGTGGGGATAAATCCTCCTGCCCCTTACTGGACTCATCCTCCGTGCTGGGGTTGCCATCTGATTCACTTTTGGGAAAGACGGAGAGATGACACCGTGTTACCAGAGAGCTCTGGACCAAAGGAACCTCCCTGCCGCGATATGGGTTGTGGGAGTAACCCCTATTTCCTACATTTTGCCTTTAAAGTGAGTCAAGGCAGAGGTTTCTCAGTAAAGAACACATCAAAGCAGGGCGAAACCGTTTTACAGACTCCTCGCTGACCCCAGCCAACCAGAGCCCACCGGGCCGGGCTCAGCCCTCCATCCACCGGACAGAAGGTTGCCCGCACATACGAAAGCAGCAACAGCAGCCATTTGGTACGGCGCTCCGCGGCAGCTGCGGGCCGGGAGGCTGCGGGAGAGGCCCCGAGGGGACACCCGGGGCAGCGCGGCCTCCAGGTGCCACTTTCGCCTTTTGTGCGAGGGGAGAACCGGCGGCGGGGCGGCCTCGGGAGCGCAGCGCTGCGTTTTGCTCGCTGACTCCACCGCCCTCCATCGCATTTTTCGGTCTTTCCCTCCCTTCCCTTCCCCCCCCCCTCCCCTTTGATGTGTCCCGAGGAGAGGAGGGGGGCCGCGCTGCACAATCGCGCCCTTGGTTGAGAAATGCCTTGGGGCCCTCTGCTTTTTTTTTTTTTTTTTTTTTTTCCTTTTTTTTTTTTTTTTTTTTTTTTTTTTTTTTTTTTTTTTTTTTTTTTTTTTTTTTTTTTTTTTTTTTTTTTTTTTTTTTTTTCACTCCCCCTCCCTCCTTCCCGCGGAGGGAAGAAGGCGGACGGGAGGGGCGGCAGCAGGGAGGTCACCTCCACCTGCCCGAGCCCCCGCCGCGGCCCCACGCCCCGGGAGGAGGAGGCGGAGCGGGGCCGCGCAGCGCCGGGCGGAGCGGGGCGGGAGGGGGGGGGGGTGAGGGGGGAGGACGGGGCCGGGCGGGAGGGCCGCGCTCCTCCGCCGCTCGGGCCTCGGTGCTTCGCCCCGTTGAAACCCGAGCGGGGGCCGCTCCCGAATCAGGTTTCAAAACAAGAGTGAGCGGCGGGACCCCGCGCGTCAATGATTAACTCTGTCAGGAGGGACGGTTAAGTTTAAAAGAAAAGAAGAAAGAAAAAACAGAAACAAACAAGCAAACAACAACGAAAAAAAACCCAACAAAACGGAGAGGAAACAAACAAACATCGCTGCCCCCCCCCCGCCGCCCCGCACCATACGCACACACACACGCACCTCCCCCGCCTCACGCACGCACAGAGACGGCCGGAAAAGTTGTGCTCGGGGGGGTGCGCTGGGAGCGAGGGAGTGGGGAGGGGGAAGGAGGGAGGCCGAAGGTAAGCGCCATGTTTGCAAGGGAAGAAAGGGCCGGGAGAGGGAGAGACGGCGGCGGGAGAGGGGGCGGGGAGCGGAGCGAGCGCTCACCTTTTGGACTGCGTCTCGGACGGGTTGCGGTCCCGCTGGCGGCGGTTCTTGAACCAGTTGCTGACCTGCGTGAGGGACAGCCCGGTGATCTTGGCCAGGTTGCGCTTCTCGGCCGGCGAGGGGTAGCGGTTCTGCTTGTAGAGCTCCTTGAGGGCGTTGCGGGACTTCTCCTTGAAGCAGTACACCGTCTCCTCGCCGTCCCAGATGGTGCGGGGCAGGGGGTATTTCCTCCGCAGCCGGTACTTGTCCACCGCCCCCAGGGGTTTGCCCCGGGCTCGCTCCGCCTCGGTGTAGCGAGCTTTGTACCACAGCTCCTGCAGCAGCGGGTGGTTGGACGAGTCGAAGTTGTGGCTCTCCAGGATGCTGTAGAGCTCGGCGTAGATGCCCTGGTGGAAAGCCACCAGCGCCCGGGCTTTCATCAGGCTCTCGTTGCCACGTAGCAGATCGCTCGGGGGCAAAGACCACAGGAACCGGGCCAGGCGGTCCAGGTTGCCCCCCTGCTGCAGCGCCTCGCACACACACGCGACGTGGTCCGGGGAGAAAGCCAGGGGGGGCTGCGAGGAGGACGACGAAGAGGACGAGGAGGAGGAGGAGGAGGAGGGAGAGGCGGCGGCGGCGTGGTGGTTCCGGGCCAAAAGTTCCGTGTGGAGCAGGACGGGCTCGGCGCTGCCCTCCTCCCCGGCGGCGGCTCCGTGCTCCATGGGGAACGGGGCGGCGGCGGGGGGGGGCGGCGGCGCGGGGCTCAGCGCGGCCGCTCCGTCCGGGGGCACCTTGCCGGCGTCGGAGAGGATTTCCATCACATTTTCCTGCTTGATCGTGATCTCGTCCGCGGGGGAGGCAGAAGACATGACTTGGTTTGTTTTCTTTTTTTTTTTCTTTTTTTTTTTTTTTCTCCCCTCTCTCGGTGTCCCCTTCTCCTCCTCTCCCCCCTCTTCTATCTCTCCGGAAAGTCCACTCCTCCTCCTCCTGCTCCTGCTCTCGGCCGGCTCTAGCCGATCAGGTTTCCTCCCGGCCACGCAATAACCATTAACGAGAGCTGCTATAGCAAAGTAGTGTAAACGGGCTCCTCTCCGCGGCTCCCCCCAACGTGACTCCCGGCCCCGCCGCAATACTATATGGCACCGCAGCCTGCTGGCCCGGCCGCGCCCTCCCATTGGCTGCGCCGCCAAGGGAGGGCGGGGACTCGCGCGTCGCCATGGCAACTGTCAATCAAACGGCCCCTCTCTCCTCAGCCCCCCCCACTCCCTCCTCCCTTCACCTGGAGCCGCGCGGCCCCTTCAGCCCGTTCTCCTCAGTTTCCCGTCCCGCGGGGCCGGAGGTGGAAAAATAAAGCTTTTCTCCCCGCGCTGCGGCTCCCTTGAGGCTGGCTGTGAGGCGGGTGCTGTTCGGAGCGGTTCGTACCGGCCCGGCCCGGCCCGGCCGAGCGCCGCGCTGAGAGCCGCTGTGCGGAACGCGCGGGGCGGCGGGCGGTGCCGGGGGGCCGCTTTGGAGGCGCACCGGGCGGCGGAAGGCGGAAGGGAGCGGCGAGCAGCCGGGGGAGGAGGCGGCGGCGGCGGCCGCCATGGACGAGCTGGGCTGCCCGCGCTGTAAGACCACCAAGTACCGCAACCCCTCCTTGAAGCTCATGGTCAACGTCTGCGGGCACACGCTGTGAGTTGAGCCCCGGGGGTTACGTGGGGGCTGCGGGGCTGCCGGGGTGCGCCGGGAGCGCTGGGGCTGGGGAGCGAGCTCGTGTTGTGCGGGGCTGTCGGGCTGCTGCCAGGAGAGGATTCGAGGTATGGAGAGGAGGGAGGAGAGAAAAACGCGTTTCTGGTCGATTTAAAGGTTTCTCGGTTGTATTTAGCGGCCTTATGTATGTATTACCCCGCGTGTTCTGAATGAGTAATGCTTTATCTGAAGGTTTGGTGCTGCTTTTAATGTTGGGCAATCCTCTGCTGAGCGTGTGTTGGCGGTGCTTCTCCAGTACATCCCTTTTGCAGCAGGGAGGTCCTTACCGATGTTGTTCCTGTCCCCCAAAGCTGAACACGTGGGTAATTCCCGCTGCTGGCTGTATTGATGTAAGCACTGCGTGGTCTGAACACGTGCACTTATGGATCTGGAGGTCTTCCTCAGGTTCTGGGCAAGTTGTAAAGGTGCTGCTCTAAATTCTTTCTAGATACTCATGATAGAAACCCCCGTACTGCAGTAGCAATCCGTTCTGTTTTTTTATCTTTTTAATGTGTCTCTCCATCTGTCCCATTACATAAATGTTAGGATAATACATGTGTTTCAGACAGCCTAAAAAGCCCTGTGTGCTGATGTAATAAGTTACCAGGATGAAGAAACTGGATTGCAACAAGGGATTTATGCTATATTGCTTAGGGGTGAAAAGAAAAAAAGGGGGGTCGTTTTAATCCCTTTCCCTGATCACATCCTCTATGTCTATGCACTCACTTTTGCTGCTACCAGGGAAGTATGTGGGAGGGCAGCAGATGCTCTCCTGGTGGTGCTACAGTAGGAGGAAGAGGTAGCAGGAGTGTCCCTTTGGTAACAGTAATGCTGGCTGTGTGAAAGTGTAGCATTAGCACAAAATTAATTCAGAAGGTAGCAGCTGGTTTAGGCGTGGCTGTGCAGCTTGAAAATGATGATTCTCTCTGTCTTCTTTTCCAATGGAGATCAAAGCACTTCTGCTTTCAAGCTCCTCTAGAGCCACTTCCTCTAGAGCGTGTTTCAGTTTGCTCTCCTTTGGTTCTCAACCTTTTCTGTTATAGCTGAGTTTTTCTTGAGAATATCAGTTATATTTTGTGCTATTCTGGGGTCAAGCTTCCTGCTTGGCTGTCCTTGTTTTCTTCCTAGCTGCTCAGAGACTGCCCCTGCTTTCCTCAGCTCTTGTTCTTTGCAATTCTACATTTGGAATTGTTTTCTCCATGGCCACATTGGTGGTCTGAGCTCTTGCAACCTTGGGCTCGGACAGCCCAAGTGTCTGCAAGTGGAAAGAACTGTGCAGTGCCACCCAGCCTGACCCTGCCTGGATCCAGAGAGGTTAGTTCCTCCTTTGCCTTCCCAGGACAGAGGTACTGCAACGTGGATCCACTGCCTTAAAGCATATGTGCATGAGGGTGAAGTTGCAGTCACTGTGTAGGTAGGATTTCTGTATTTCTTTACCTCTGTTGTAAGAACTTTTCATCTTGATGTGATTCAAGTGGGTTGCTTTTCTTCTGTAGTATCCTTCTAGTAACCCCTTTAAATTGGTGTTCTTAGTATTACAAGTACGTATTTCTGTACTATATTATTAAAACCTCCATGCTTGAAGCTGTTTCTTGGTAATGGCTTGCTACATGTTTTCTCTCTAAAATAAAAGGGACTGACTTCTTCCTATAGCATTCTAGGAATCTCTCAGTACTTCAGTGTGTACTCTTTTTTTAGTTTGTATGAATGTTAATTGATGTGTCAGAAGTCTCACAAAATCAAAACTATGTTGCCTCAAGTTGACATTTCTGTCTGCGCTGCTCTGTCATTGAAGGAAATTCTGTTCCCTTGACATGGTTTGTTCTTACACTGCATGTTGGCTCTTAACTGTGTTGTTATCTGAAATATGCAGCAGAAAGGTTGCTTGGCAGCTCATGTATTCCAGCATCATCCTAGGGACTGATGGCAACCCTGACCAACCTGTGCTACCGTGTGTATTTGGTTTCCTGCTTTGTAGGAGTCACTGCTTGTCTCCTTCTTCAGGCTGCTGGAAGCTGACGTGTGGAGCAGAAATAGTCTTTGATAACTGCCTGTGGTGGTTTTTGTAGGGTACACATTGCTATGTTGACCAGATTTGAAAACCATGAAGTACTCTTTTAATGCAGTAATGCCTGAATATTGTCCATAGGTGAAGATTAATAAATTCCCTGCAGCGCTGTATCGCCTTAATTGTCCTTGTTTGATGTTTGCTCAGGAGTTTTGAGGCAATTGCTCTGATGCGTTTCCCAGTTTTGGCTTGTGTTCTTGTCATTCTGTGCTGACAGGGATTTCATTAGCCAGTTCCTCTGACCTCGTGAAGGCTGATGCAACAAACCCTCTGAATGCTTTAGCATTACCTGTTAGAGATCGTGTTAACACACTCCTACTTAACTGCTCTTTCCTTCACTGCATGTGTTCTGAAGGGATATTTTGTTACCTACGGGTTGTTTCTTTCCTAATGTTTTGACTTTTCCTGGTTTAATAATTGTGCTATTCACTTTAAGTCACCTTCAGTTATTTGAAGTTATACAAAAGGGAATACATGCAGAGTCTGTTGAATTTCAAATCATTGAAGAGCTTTTGCCTGCTGTAGGGGCCTGCTTTGCAGGAGGGCTGGACTTGGTGTTCTCTGGAGGTCCCTTCCAGCCCCTACAATTCTGTGATTACACTTGGCTGAGATGGTTTGTCAGAGAATTTCAGGTTTTCTGGCTTTCAGATAGCTTCTTCCTTGATTGTTAGTTCACTTTCTTTACTTTGTAGCCGTTCTACCCTTCTGAAGAATAGCAAGTGGTGCCTTTTACTGCTTTCTGTTGGCTCAGGAGTTGGAAATTTCTGCTTTCACTTTCTTAGCTAGTTCCTCCCCTTTGCTTAGAATGAAATTAGAAGAGACTATAGCTTTTTTTCCCCCCCTATTTCTTGTGTAAACAAGGTTAATCTCAAAGTATTTGAGAGCTTGTTGGGCAGTGTGTGTCCTGTTTGCTCCTCTTTGTTTTTTTTTCTTGGCAGATGCCTGCAGTGAAGGTCCTCGTTGCTACAAAAATTTGTGCTTTGGCCATTTTGTTGTTCATCCTTTTCACCTTTCTCATTTCGCTGATGTAAATATCTGGAGTAGATTGTATGTGCTCTAGTACCTAGTTAGCCTCCCATCTCTCTTTTATTGTGACCTAGACCCTGCCAACAGATCTGTTCTGCATCATAGCACCTATGTACACAGGTAGCATCAAGCACAGCGACACAGGCAGATAGGCAGAGGAGGGAGGAGCAGCTTTCTTGTAGCACCATGTGTTTGCCATGCTGAGTTTTCCCGTGGCCAGGGGGCTCTGGAATGTGCTCACATCCACTGGTGGTAGGGGTCAGAATACTGATAAGCACCTTGGTGCTGCAGTGGAGATAAGGGGTAACCAGATGAGTGCAAGAGGATAAGATTGAACATTCAGTCTTTGCTGTAAACATCTTTCAGGTTGAGTTGTCAGTGCAGTTCACTCTGATGGAACCATGCCAAACCCTACAACTATGGGAATATATGGGGGGGTATTTTTTTTTAGTATTTTCCTTACTTATTGCTGCTTGACCAAAATAACAAGAAGTGTAATACCATATGTTTTTGGCATTACTGTAATGTTAAATAAGCCTTTTCCACTATAAATCTTCCCTGTCACAGGGAGGGCAGATGATAAATTAGCAGTTAAAAGTTGTTCTAAGGTGGGACTTAGTATGGAAATGCTCAGTTCAAGAATAATGAATGTCGTTTAAAGTTTATTTTCTTAAGTATCACAGAGGTTCAAGGCATCACATGCTTGGCTTTAAAGATGCTTTTGCTCAGGGGAAAGCGTGTCTAATTACAGAGCAGCGCTTGATTAAAGTTCTGCAATGCATTATTTTCTAAGGTGAAGTGGTAGCTTTGCCTTCTTTTTAAAAGCTCACTCTGAAGAATTGTCATGCGTGCACAAAGGCTTTTGAATGCAGTTTTTGGTTTTTCGGATTCCTAATGTCTTTTCTGAATACATGATGCAGGGTGCGTGCTTGCCAGTGCAGTTGCAATCCACCTGGCTTTGAGACTCTGAATTATCTTTTATTCAATCTGCTTGAATTTCATGGCCTATGCTGAGTTTTTGGGGGCAGGTTAAGCGTATCCCGGTGATTTACTTACATAAAGAGGAAAGGAAATGCGTCCACCAAAAAGTGCATTAAAAGAATGTTGAGGTTGTTACCGCAAACAGGGCAGGGTAAAGACATTTACTGTTGGCTGTAAACTTGGACCATATGGTCTCCCAACAATCAGACACAAAAGTCTTATGTAAAAAAGCAATTAATTGGGGCTGCTGGTTCTGCTTTGTTGTCCTGCTGCCTGCTACAGGGAGGGGGGAAACTGGTGTTTAAAGCTCCTTTGGAGTCAGCAGGGCTGCTCCAGCTACCTGTGACCTATCCCAACTGGAGGGAGGAAGAGTGGATGTCTGCAGACTAACAAAAGCACAGAAACTCCCTTTCCCCCCCAGGCGTTGTGCTGTCTCTGCAAAGTGTCCTTCCCATGCTTGACAGCTCTGGGAGATGGGTGTGGGCACTGGAGCAGCCTCTGCAGAAAGCTGATATCTTGCTTTCTGCTCCTGCTTTCATCCCTGTCCTGTGTTTGCCTTTGTTCATACAGAGCTGCAATATTAGATGGTCGTTAATGATTCTGCTTGATAATAAACTTTTCTGCTGTCGTCTTCCTGTCCACGAGAGCCTTATGGAAAGGTGTCTAGTCTC